ACAATGCGACAACGCGATAATGTCCCTTCCAGGATTCCATACGTGCACGCACTTTATGTGAACGTTTGTTACACAGGGTGTGGCGCATTTGATCTTTTAGCGAAACATTAGCGTAACCCGTGTGTGTAGAGTACTGGACCTACATTATCCTATGTGACCACCGTTGTGTACAAAGTGTCACCTATAATGGCGAACAATCTGATTCTGGTCCTGTCGTAACGTCACTCCTTCTCATCCTCGACATCTTCTGTAGGTAAGGGGTTTGGGCATGCACTAGTTGCCTGGATATGTGCGCTATATAAATATCCTATAATAATCCTATAATAAAATAACAGTGGACTATGACAGTACGGCAATTGCATGACACCACTAACAATATCTGCTCCCAACAAAAACACAGACACCCTTGAATCGCGACCTCAAAGTCGAGGAGATGACTTCAAAACTATTAGGTGCATCACTGAATTTCAGAATAAATGTATTTCAAATGAACTATATATGAAGCACGTGTTCCTTTTATGAGTCTACTTGGCAACGGATTCCAAGTTTCATTTGATCAAAATATACCATAAGGGGATATTCCATTTTTCGAGCACATGAAGCCTACCACGGGATTAATTGTCCATACTCGATTATTTACCGACCGCCATCACATAGCTGGAAATATGCTGGGGGTGGCGTTAAAACGCAAACAAAACTCACCTGGTCAGCTTGCAACAGTGGTCAGCTTCTTTGCCAATGGCAAGGTCACGGGAACAAGAACTTATGCAGATAACGGATGAAGCGCCGAAACAGTTTTGAAATCAACCGTTATATTCAATTGTTATATGCTGACGAAGCGACATTCGAAGCATCTCATTGGACAACTAAAACTGTTCTATCGCAGGCTGTTGAGTCAAATTTATGTACCAAAGGAACACAGCTTAAAAAGTTGAAACTGCGGAAACAAATTTACTGCATGCATTAACTTGGGACACGGCTTTTCGTTACCCAGTTTCTGTCAGTTCTATGATATAGTACAAACATATATACTCACCGTACTGACGGAAGGCAAATTGGTAGAATAGCGTTTACTGCTGGAGGGACATAAACTGCGTGCATTAACTTGAGTCCACTGAGACTTGCCATATAGGCCGAGAGGTCCGTGCAACAGCACTTCATCAAGAATAGTCCACATTTCTTAACAATATTTGTAAGTTTGTACTTAAATTTCTTTAAATGACGTTTAAAAAAATTCTAAATCTTTATCTGAAAGGTTTGAGACCAGGTCCGCGTGTTTCAGTCTGTTAAGGATCCCCTGTTTGCACACTGCATCTGGTTGCTTTGGTTTATTAAGGAAAAAAATCAAAATATCTAAACTCAATTTCAATTTGCATTCCAATTATTAATCAAACTCTAGAGCAAGGATTTCATACATTTTAGTGTGTCTCTGCCATCTGGCGCCAAGTGGTATTAAAACGGTAGCTAATTTGTTAACAGTATGTTATGAACGTAAAATGCTTTGAAAGTTATTATCTATTTATGCCGAACTTCGAAAGAAATGTTTTGTATCGGTACATTTGGTACCAGTCGTTCAATCAGTATCACGGCATTTCATTTGTGAAATTATTGCCGATTCCCATAAAAAAAACGGATGCATTCTTCGAAACATGCGACGAAAATTATTGTTCACCAAAATTGTGTACGCCAATGGTTTATTCTGTTGACAACATAGATCCGGTGAAGATCCGGGTCAGAACTGGGCTTCAGCAAACCCATGCGGGTAACGGGATCGGGTGGTCAGGCTCGCTGACTTGGTTGACACATGTCACCGTTTCCCAACTGCGTAGATCGATGCTCGTGCTGTTGATCACAAGATTGTCAGGTCCAGACTAGATTATTCACAGACCGCCGCCAATAGCTGGAAAATTGCTGAATGCGGCGTTAAACAAACAAAACACACTATTGATAACGTGAGTGCCAAATATTACTCGAGAACACCGGAGATAAATGCAATCACAAACATCATTGTCACCGTCAGCCTAGTTGTATTGGACATTGTAACAGCCATGTTATCTGATCGGAATCATATATGGATTCCTCTCAGTGGCAACCGAGATCACATGATGTTATCAGCATTTGTCGTCATTCGGCTTGTCCCGGAAAAACACGAGAAGGGGTGAAGGGAAACAATCGTGACCCTGAATATATGCATAAGTCAATAGACTATAGCGGTTCAGTGACTGATGTGGATTAAATGCGATTTGAACCAAATGGTACAAACGTAACATGGGAACCAGCCATATGCACTGCTGATCGCACTCACTTATCACTATTTGCTAGGTGTAATTGCTCTTTTCATGGGAGGGTTGTTGTTCCTTTTGTTTGATTGGGATTGTTTTAAAAAAAATATTTATATTTTATTAATTTATTTATCTTTTTTCCTTTTGGGGGTGGGGTGGGGAGATTATTAATTTTTTATTATTTCTTATTATTTTATTTTCTGGTTGCCCCAAATGAAAGAATAAATCCTACTATGACATGGTCAATTACTTACATCATATCATGACAGCTTAATGCTGGTCGAAAGTATTAAGTGAAACAGGGGATGTGAGTTAGCCTCGTGGTTAAAGCGTTCGCTCGTCATGCCGGAGACCCGAGTTCGATTCCCCATATGGGGAATATGTGTAAAGCCCATTTCTGGTGTCACCTGTCGTGATAATGCTGGAATATTGCTACAATATTACTCATTAACTCACGTGACTCGGATATTTCACGGATGAAACAAAGATTCCATATTTTTGCTCATGGCAATCAAAATGGGAACAAACTGTAATATTTTCAGAAATGTCATTTTTGTAATAATAATATTATAAAGCCCCTTCCCCTTTGATGGTCCGTGTTATCAGTGCAACGGGTGTCAACTGGACCAGCCCATCCAGTGATCACAACTAGGTAACCATGAACTGGGAATATTTCCATTCCTGTATTTCTGGAAGTGTTTGCTTGCGAAACACGTTTAAATAGAAGTGACAAAACCCTTTCTACACGAACAAGAGCTCTCTGCCTCGAGAGAGGCGATAGGGTAGCCTAGTGGTTAAAGCGTCCGCTCCTCACGCCAAGACCCGTGTTCGATTCCCTGCATGGGCACAATGTGTAAAGCCCATTTCTGGTGTCCAGTGTCGTGATATTGCTGGAATATTGCTAAAAGCGGCATAAAAGTATTCTGCCTCGAGAAGTGTCGATTGTACGATTTTGCCTGCATACAAGCATGCCTTCATAAATCAGTATGAAGTAATAATGACACCAGGTGGTCGCGTAAAGGTGAGCGTACCCTGTCCCACCGGTGGCACCCGTCATAATCAATGCAAAGGCGGGTAAGTTTTTCAAGTCAAAAAGGTGATTGCATAGGATATACGTTTTTGTTATATTACAAGGTGCGTCAAATTTTGAAATGGTTCACGGCTTGTCTGCCATAATAATCTCTATGAAAGCTTCACTGAGTCTTTGAATGTTGTAACCTTGATCGAACAACCTCTGAGAAAGAGAGGTGTGACGCACTTTGAAATTTTAGCAAAAAGGACTAGCACACTAACACACACTAACACATTTATGAATGGAGCAATATTTGCAGTAATTTTACCATGGCGTTTGCTGTATAACCAAATTCAGCTTACCACGCGTGTGTATACCAGCCTCGTTGTACCAGCCACTATGCCTACGTGAACCTAGCGTCTAATGTATGCATGAGCTGGAAGTCGAGCAAGATGGTTAAACGAGGGAACGTGCCATTAGCACATTACAACCAGTTTAGTTGCGTGTTGTTTGACGCCGCAATCGACATCAGTGGCGGCACCCCCCTCTTTGAAAATGACTAAAGACCATATTGAACTTAATGTTTTGCAATGACAGAGCCAAGGTGGAGTTCAGGGGGTTCGAACCCCCTGAACACACACCCACACCCCTCCCACACCTTTTGGATATTTCTGGATCCGCCTATGGACATTATGACGGCTTTTTGACGTGAATTGTTTGTGAAAAATCGCGTTTGGTCCAATCAAGTCTAGTGATTGATATTATCAGCCACGGGTGTAACTGTTTACAGACAATCAAGGAAGTCACTGAATCCGACCATTCAATCCATTCTATCGCAGCTTGTAAACATCATAAGTTACTAGGGACCACAGACTAAATAAACTTAGGCTCAGTATTTTTCGTTACACTGCTATACTGAGACTCAGAATAGCAGTGTAACGAATAATACTGAGCCTAAGTTTACTTAGACTGCTAGGAACCATATCTTCCTGTTGCATCTCGTATTGACTTTAAGCTCCTCTGCATTGTCTACAAGTGTTTATACAATCTTGCGTCAACTTATCTCAAGGATCTCATCACTGAATACACCCCAACCAGAACTCTTCGCTCGCAGAACCAGCTACTGTTACCAGTCCCCAAGATCCGCTTAGCATCATTCGGCAAGCGATCTTTCCGACATGTAGCTCCATGTCTGTTGAACTCTCTACCTCTCAACATTAAACTTTCTGATTCTCTCCCAAGTTTCGAATCTCGCTTGAAAACCTACCTCATCAAGAGCACCTATTACTAACTATTCAGACCAATAATGTATATTTTGTTGTATATCATCCTCTGATGTTATTGCAGCGCCATGAGCATCCACAAGTCCGTGGATTACTAATGTCCATTATTATTATGTTTTACAGATTAAAATATGAGACTGTTATTATTATCATCTAACCCTATATTGCCATGTCGACTAACGAATACTATTTTCAGTTCTTAAACACTGTACATCTCCACCCATGATGCAGATATTCTCCTTCACATCGCAGATATTCTCCATCAGGAACAAACCTACATTGGTTGCGTTTAACCAAAATATGAAACCCAAAGCTTCCATCAACGAATACCATCGGCGCACTATGCCATCATCCCAGTGTCGATGTTGGTAAGAAATATAACCAATATTACAAAACATTCATTAACGATACAATGCCACTCACCTCAAAACACCGTAATCCAAAAACGTCACTCCAAGCAACACAAACGAAACACGCTCCGTCCCCGACAACCCTCGATCTCTGATAGTGGCGTCCAATCTGGAACTTCTACTCAAAATCGACTCCCATTCACTGGAAGATGGAGATATCCAAATCTGTCTCCTCGCGTCCCCACGTCCGAACAATGAATCTAGCTATTGATCCTAATGAATATTTCATGCCCGCTCCCTCCTTAGTTACAATCGCATTTCGTTAGTTCCCCCTCAAATTCCATGTTTTATATTGACCAGCTTTCTCCTGTTGCGATAAGCCACGAATACATTAATTGATGTACAACTGTAAACTCGATAATGAAAATGGTGCCCTGGGGTTGCATCAATGAATGTTATTATCACATCTGATGCGCTGTTGATGCTGTTGTTGTTGGGTTGCTGCTGTTGGCGCCGTCACTTTGCAGGGGTGATGTTAACAAGTCGGGCACCCCAGCTTAATTAATCTCCCTGTCATTGTTCTTGTCGTTGTGTTAATTATCGGCCTTCACATCGCCGTGGTGACAATTACGAAATTCCATTGATCTATTATTATTATTAGTGGTTATTGTTAACCACTACATGGGGTCTTCAACCAGCCACTCGTAACCATAATGTCTTTGAGTGGCATTTTAAGAAGTTGGAGAGCCAGATAAGGACAAACTTTATGAACAATAGTGCAGTGGTAAGGCGTCTGCCTATCACGCTGAAGGCCCGGGTTCGATCCTAGCACCTAGGTTCGGGTCCCAAGGTAGGCACATTTTCGTGGCATCCTTGGACAGCATAAGTAAATCCACATTGTCTCAGTTCACCCAGCTGTAAAATGGGTACCCGTGAGGATGTTCTGGCAATGTGAGTGATTAGTTCATTGCGCCTAACATGCAGCATGGCTGTATGATCCTCAGGGAGTTGAAAAGTATCGGATAGCACAATGGTGTCCTATGACCAGAGATAGTAATGTACGTAGCGCCGTGAGCAGGTAATGTGCCTGGATATGAGCGCCATATAAGCGGATTATTACTATTACTATTACTATTCAGGTGATGCTGCGTTTCAATACAGATTCTTGTATCGTTGTCAAGCAAGTATGATACTAGTCAAGTTAAGACATACTTATATACTTCCATACTCTAGATATAAAACAGCCTTAAGATGGTCACATGGCTAAGATTATTTTGTGCAATTAGACCCTAGTGCCAGAGATTTCAATCTGGGAGATGGTCTTAAGCTACAACCGTTTATACTAGTTGTGTTTCCTGATGCATGTTTAGCACTGTGTTCGATTCTTTGACCACTTGATAGCTTTTTTACGTGTCAAGTATCACCCTTGCTTGACAACAATACAAGAATCTGTATCGAAACATCGCACCACCTGATCAAAGAAGTTGTTCGTCAATAAAGTTTGTTCTTGTATACACGTCATGGATAAATCGTTTCTTAAAAATAACTAACCCTTACCAATTTGGCTCACCTGTACGCCAGGTATTTTCAAGCAAATTTATCTTTTATATGACTCGTTCAAAACAAAAAAATGTCTGACAGACACCCTAAGTAATAAATTGACTAACCGTTCACAATTTCAACGACAAGTATATAAATGTAAATTCTTTAGCTTAATCAAACACAGCTAACATTATCAACTGCCTTGCTAGTATATAAACTCTGTCAAAAAAGAAACGCAACCCCTGTATTTTAGAGATTTTGATCTGAAGTTTTAGGACGACACGGCATTTTTATTATTTAAGACAGAAGTCTGAAATTTGGCAGAATAATAACCCAGATGGGCATGTTTAAAATTGTCATTTCAAAAGTCATCTCACAGACACCAGTTGGTCACCAGGGGGGCGTCTTTCTCAGTATCTCGTCTCCTTGGACAAGAACGGATAAGACGCCGGATTCTTTCCTGGGGAATGGCTCTCCACTCCTCCTGCAGTGCAACGGCGAGCTGTTGCAGCGTCTGTGGCGGCGGCTGACGTTGACGTACGCGTCGATCCAGAGTATCCCACAGGTGTTCAATAGGGTTGAGGTCTGGTGATTTAGAGGGTCATGGCAAGACATTGACGTTGGAATTCTGCAGAAAGTTCATTGTTGCACGTGCAGTATGAGGCCGGGCGTTGTCCCGTTGAAAAATCTGTGTCTGTTGGTCAATAATCGGGAGAAGGTGAAGCTCTAACACGTGGTTGATGTAACGTTGGGCTGTCAGGTTCCCTGGAACGATCACCAAGTCTGATTTCTGGTTGTATGAGATGGTTCCCCAAACCATGACGCTTTCTCCGCCAAATCTGTCCACCTGTCGGACGCAGATGGGCGCAAAACGTTTATGACGTCTCCTATACAGACGCTGTCTTCCGTCGTGACGTTGCAAAAGAAAACGTGATTCATCAGAAAACCAGATTCGCCTCCAGTTTTGTAAAGTCCGTATCCTTACGTTGTTGCACCACCTGAGTCGTCGGCGTCGGGCGATCGTTGGTCAAATTGAAGTTGTTGTAGCGGCTCCAAAGTCGGGATATCGTTGTTTTGTGAACATTTAGGTGCCGTGCAACAGTTCCAAAACTTTCTCCGGCTTGAACACGACCAATGGCGATATTTCGGTCGGCAGCACTCAATCGTGGCATTTTTAACACAGCTTTTCGGCGACAAATGAATGAATATAATCCGGAAGCACATGGGCTTTTATACACCCCTACATTAACTGCCATTTTCATGATTTGCATGTGTTTTTTTTTGTGCGAAGTCACCATGAGGGTCATTTCATGCGTTGTGACGGAATAAGCAATAAAATACACTTATGCGTACAAATGCAGTTGTTTGGATGGTAATCTTCATTAATTACGTGTATCATTTCAATACATTCGAATAACATTTAGTTTGGAAGCAATAACTTCATTCAAACGAATTTTTCATATCTGAGGACAGGGGTTGCGTTTCTTTTTTGACAGAGTTTATTTACCTGATTTTTGACATAAAGTTATCAATTAATACTGAAAGGTTTTGATATTTCAATTTCCCTATTTATTGCCTCATGCGACACAATGCTCTTGCCCCTGAACTTCATAAAAAACACATCAGCTTGATTTTTCTTCATGTATACTCATTTAAAAAAACTCCAAAGCAAAGCATCACTAACTGCATCATGAAATAATTTATAAACTATTGCCTAGTGATTTTTGTTTTAAATTAAGAAGTAATTTACACAAGCAGTGAAAAATATATTTTCGTCAACACTCTGCCGTCTTGCTGGTTGAGGTTGGACGCACAAAACTACAGATACTTTCATTAGCCACTTAACACAAAAATGATGAAATTGCAATTTTCAGTTGAATCCATGTGCAACCCGATTTCTTAATAAACTACCACACACGATTGTATTTACTTACTAGTACGTATAAATACATGTTTTTGAAAATGTAAGAACATATGTTTCTGAAGTTGCAAGAATATTATTACAATATTATTACATAACAGTATTGTATGGCTAATAACGTCATTATTCTTTGTAACATCGCTATGAAGGAGTAAGAGTGAGTGAGTTTAGTTTTACGCCGCTTTTAGCAATATTCCAGCAAAATTAGACATGGGCTTCACATCCACTTAGTTACCCCACCGCCCCGAAAGGGGCAAGAAGGAGCACTGAAACGTCGCGAAAGAATATAGAATTTGTTATCCATTAAGATGTGTCATGTAAGAAAACATTGGTTATGAAAACGAATATAAGTAACATATTCATTAGGGACCGTTCATAGTTTATGGCTGGTGTGTGTGTGTGTGTGTGTGTGTTTGTGTTTGTGTTTGTGTGTGTGTGTGTTGTTGTGTGTGTGTGTGTGTGTGTGTGTGTGTGAGTGAGAGATATGATCATGATTTTTTTTCCAATGTTACACATGCCATTTATTGCATAATACTTTTATGTACAAAATTGCTTACCCCCTAGTAAATGTGTACAAAACTGATACTTCCCCAGAACAAAATGCGTGAACCCGTTAAAATCATCATCTAAAACACACACACACACGCACGCACACACGCACGCACGCACGCATGCACGCATGCACGCACGCACGCACGCACGCACACCTAGCCATAAATTATGAACGTTTATACAATATAAATTTCGTTCTACTATGTTGACTTTAAATAAAATCCTGGTGGATGCTCAGCTGTTTTTCGCTGCTACGATAAGTATTATTTCCATGGTAACCTAATGATCTGTCATTGTTTAATAGAAAAGGAAATTTCTTTCTGCATTAAATCATAACAAGAGTTCATTTGTTTCTGTGGTTAAATATTTTCATAAGAGTTAACGCTCATGGCAGGCTTGAACGGGTACAGAACTGTTACATCAGCTTTCATCGACATTTTCGTATATGGCGCATATGACAGAAATATGCCACTCTGTTATGTTTATTTTATGTATCTATAACTCCTTTCATCAATGATAATAATTTCCATCTTTAAGATATATCACCACAAATTTCATGTCGCCTGTTTGTATCCAATCGAATTTCATCTGTTGTTTAAAGCCACATTCAGCAATATTCAAGAGATGGGATGACCGGCTGCAAATAATTGAATCTTGACCAGACAATCCACTGACTGAAAACATGAGCATCGATATACGAAATTGGGATACGATGACATGCCCGAACTAAGCTAGCAAGCCTGACCTTCGACTTTTACGACGAGCAGACAGATAGTTTATTTAAGTCTCACCTCATGTAAAAGTACAGATATATACACACATATACATAGAATGAGCCACCCTTTAAGGATTATGAGAGACTATATTTAAGGTATATAATTACATAGAAGTGACATATACGACAGCAGTAACAACACAACATTAGCTAGAAGGTGTTTTCCCCTTTTGAAGTATATAAAAGCAGGTTTTGGCTGTAAAATAAACATGTATATTAAACATGTAAAATAAACATAAACTAGCATATGTTGCTGTTGACCACTTGTAACCATGATCTCTCAACGAGAACACAATCAGGTGGGTAATTTGGTGTTAATGCAGCTTTAAGCATTATTCCATATATGTCACGGTGTTAACTTGATCTGGGAGTAAATATCAGAGCGATGCAGGTCCTAATGGAAGTCCACATTGGAGACCCGACAAGATCCAGATTAGACACAGCTTGCTCATTGCATGCAATGTTCAAACGATTATCTGCTCATTGCATGCAGTTGTAGTTGTGAATGAAAATAATAATTAGTATTGCAATATGGGCAATCAGCGTGTTCATTTCACGCAATGGCCAGGTAGTTGTTTGCACGCAATTGAAAGTGGTATTGTTTTACATGTTTCGTTTTTTTCATAAAGTGAACTGTATTATTATTGAATAAACTGTAATGAATAACGACCAAACAAATAGTGATCTTAAGAAACGTGGGGTTTCTTTCGTAATAGAAACAAATATCAAGCAGT